GTGCTCAGATCTAAAAGAGGCAGAGGATTAGTTCAACTAGAACTGTCTTACAAAGCACAACAATCAATCTTCAAAGATGCCTGGAAATTACAGAAGATATGGATGATGATCAATGAACATGAAGGAAATAAGAAACTTTATTCAATAATAAAGGAAGACAACAAATTCAAAAAGGAATTTCAAGTAGGTGAAAAAGTGCAAATAAACCATAATACACCTATTGCAGGGTCAAAGAACCTAAAAAAGAAATCAAAAGCAAATGCAATATACCAAATGCAGAAACAATGGCAAGATAATCCTCTTCATAGTAAATACTCTGCCAATAGCAAATAATCTGATGTAGACAAACCACATATCCATTAGTGGTTATGTAGTACAGGATTAAAAGCTGAAACGAAAGGTTTTTTTTCTTGCTGCACTGGGCCATTGCTTGCTAACTAAAAATCACCAAGTACATATACTGATAAATTGTATTAACTTAAAATGCAGATTTTGTGATAAATATCCAGAATGAATTGACCATCTTGTATCAGATTACACGGTATTGGCATCCACCAAATATAAAACTCGGCATGAGAGAGAGGGCCATATCTGCACTGAAAAATATTCAACTTTTATGGGAAGGAAACTGCAAGAAACTGGTATGAATATCACCCAGAATCTGTTACAGAGATAGGGCCTGTAACAATTTTATGGGACTTTACAATACACACAGACAGAGCAATGAAAACTAATCACTCAGACATTATGATCAAAGACCACAAGAAGAAAATGTGCTTTCTTATTGACATGGTAGTCCCTGCAGATTGTAATGTATCTTTGAAGATCTTCAAAAAAAATCTATCAAAATACAAGGATCTTGAAGTGGAAATCACAAAAATGTGGCACATGAGGACATCAATAACTCCAGTTGTACTTGGAGCTCTTGGATTAATTGGAAAATGTTCCAATAGACTCATTGAAGGGATTTTTGGTAGCCCATGCCTTAAAGAAATACAAAAAAATTATACTCACAAGTACAGCTCACACATTACAAAGAATTTTATCTATGTAAAATGTGTGTGATCTTAGATTTTTTTTGATTTTTACAAAAATGATCAGTGGAAGACGTCTGATTTTATGTCTTTGGTTAGGGCCCAGAAGGAAATATGTATACAACAGAAATCCAAGAATATAATAAAAATAATAATAATGATGATTAGTCTATATTTATACTGTTTATAATGTACTTGTGCACTTAAGTATTAGGGTATATGTATAGGAATAGGGTTGGGCTTAGATTATAGTCTTAGACTAGTGTACATTCTTACTGGATTGTAATATTGATTTCTGTTAAATAATTGTACATAGGCATTAGGTTGTATTTAAAATAACAGCAGTGGACTTTTATAATAATAATAATCATAATAATAATAATTATTATTATTATTGATCTACATTGGTATACTGATGTGAATAAAATGCACAAAAAATAACCTCTATTAAAAGACATCATTTGTTACTTTTGATAAAAATCTATGACTACAAAATGATAACAAAAATAAGAGTCTTTATCATTCCAACAGGTGATTAGACTAATGAATTTCTTTTTATATTGTTTTCTGTTGTGACTACAATATTTTGCCCAGCTCATTCTACCGCCTTCTTCAGGTGTACTATCAATATGTTAGATATTTTCTATAATCTTGAAAAGAATCTTTATCATTTTAACAGATGATTAGATTAATGAACTTCTTTTTATATTGTTTGCTCTGTGTGATAGAGCAGCACAATAAAGTGACATCAGCAGAATACACATCATAACAATCAGTCTAATAAGCGTGTATATCAAGCACATGCATCACAGCTAAATATGTGTAATATGGTTGCAGGTTTTGATAAAAGCAATGCATGGAGTTACAGCATATTTCATGAAGTTATTCAAATAAATATTTTACCTTATTAAATTGTTATTGATTACATATTTATTATAATTATTGTTGTTGTTGTTATTGATCTCATGATGTTATAATTGTCATATATATAGGTAATCATACTTAAAATAATACATTTTAGTGTTAAATACATTAAAGTTTCTATCCAGTTATTAAAAGAAATGCAACACTTCATTGTTATTACTACTACTACAAGTGGGAGAGCACCAAGGCAACAAAGTGATTGCATGTTACAATATGTGAAGTCAATCATACCCATTATAAAACCTAGTATAATAAAGATATATCAGACACATGCATCATAGCCAAATGTGAGAGATATGGTGTGTAGGGGACCGTGGCGGTGATGAAGTGAGTATTGTAGAAGAAGACATGTGGACCGAATTTCCTGCTAGCCGGTCCAACTACATGAGAAAGTTGGACTTTAATTAAGTCCAAAGAAAAACAAACAAGACCGATGAATATATGTAAACAAATATATACAAGTACATGGACAGAGTGTGTGTGGTGTTTATTATGTGTGTTGTGTTGTGGTGAGTATTCGTACGTACGTGTATTGTTCTTAGCATGTTCCCAGAATTTGGGAAACGCTGTATCTGTGAGAGCTCACATCTGCGAGGTATAAGGCAGAAGGCCTGAGGAAAAAGAGATTGAGGCGAAGGGTCAGCCAGTATTTATAGCCAGGGGAGAGAGACCCCTGGTGAAGGGTTAAGGAGCTGAGGAGGAGCTAAATCCGACAGTTGACAAGTTTTGATAAAAACAGTGAATAACTTTGTAGTTGGGGTCCAGTTAGAAATATTTTCAAGTCAGATAATACACTCCACTTTGATGATCTCTGATTGAAAGTGTTCCTAAGTATCTAGGTGTAACACCCAAGTTCCATTGGCTACTATATCCTTTAGACTTTAGGCCACAATGCTAGTCCACTACTCCTGTGCATGAACAGAGATGCACTGTATGTCAGACTTTAGGTTCATATGTCCAATTAAGGACCAGCAACTGGTACTAAACTAGGTATTTAATGTAAACCATCACCAAGACAAAACGTGACATGTTAAGACCTTCATTCAAGATCAGAAGTCACGAGAGCCATACCTGATTTAGCATCATGGCATTTATTATTATTATTTAAAAAGAAAAAGTAAATAACATAACAATAGTAATAATGAACACACAAACACAGCAGTCCATTTAGTATCACTTAGTATTATCATTTAGTATAATTTAGTATTATGTTCACAGTACTCCATTTTTTCTTACAATAGCAGTTATCAACAGAAAAACAAAGAAGAAGAAAAGTTACACTGTTCATTATAAAGATAGATATTCAGCTAGCATTAAGGTACTTAGGTGTAGAGAATAATTGTTAAGGAGCTAGTCTGGATTGCCATTAGTGTTGAGTTTTGTGTCAAGTTAGATCCCCTCTCCATGCCTCATACGTGTAGCCTTGGGCCAAACTAAGTTGAACTTAGTAAATAACAACATATGATTTTACTAGTTTATATTGTTGTCAAAGGATCTACAATGTTTAATATTTAATTGAAACTTTTGTGAATATATTTTTTAATTTTTTATTTGTATTTAAAAAATTAAGTGTTAGATTTCAAAACAAACTTTTCATTACATAGTAAAATTAATAAACTCGTTTTTTTTATTTTTTACCAATTTGTTTCTTTACCATTATAGTCTTTTACTTGAAAAACTTCCTTTTGAGAAAGAGGGAAATAATAATAAAAAAAATATCTTCAAAAACTTGAAAATATGTCTGTCTAAGTAAGATTTATTATTGTCTTACGTTTCAGAAATAACTTTTTTTGGAAAAATCTTAGCACAAAAAAATTTCAGAAGTAAACGCGTTTCTTATTAAAAAAATTCCTATTTCAACTTTTCTTTCTTGATTTTTGTTTCTTTTATTAACGTGGTGACGTTGACAAAGAAAGAAAATGTCCACAACACGTTCTGGAAATTAAGTTGCGCATCAACATAAGATCTCATAAGATGAAAGACAAGATTTAAATAAAAAATTACAAAAAGAAACGAAAAAAAAAACCAATGAAGATCAACAAATACTTAAAAAAACTAAAAGGAGAAAAATTGTCAAACAAAACATGCTTGTATCATGATAACTTGATTAATTAATTACATTATAAGTTGAATAATATGAAGAAAATTAAAAACGATGGAAATATGTAAAACAGAAAAAATAAGAAAAATAATATATCATTATCATCATCATCATCTCTGTTTCGATGTCACACTGCATATCAATGTAATTTCTCATCTTCAGCATTTATATCAGTCCTTTCCAAACCTTCGTCTGCTGTGCTAACTCAAGGAAGTAATAATGCAGGTCTTCCAAGCTCTTCAAAACTTTTACGGGGAATAATGAGTTTTTGATAGTTCTTTTTGATGTCGTTGCTCAAAGTCTGTTTTTGTTTCATCCAATGTCTTTGGATGTTATTCTTCCATTTGGTATTGATGACCAAACCATTTCCATAATAAATTTACTGTCTGTTTCCAAAGCTATTGACTTGTGCTGTCTAACTCCGATATTAACATCAAAAGGCTCAAAAGCTCTTCTTCTTTGATTTTGGTTTCTTGGAGACAACATCAGTGTTATAACAATAATTCCTGATTTTTTCACGACTTGCGAGTCTCTAGCGAACGTAAAATTTTCATATGCGATTCGAGGCATTTTCAAGTTTAAAATAACAACAAAACTAAAAGGTTGTCAACTTTTAACAGTTAACAACTGGTACAGATGACATCTCCAGATGACCTGGTGATGTCATTACTTTCTCTGCTAACAAAGATTAACTTTAATAGACAGAAATTGTCAAAATAGATAGATAGAAAGACAGATAGATACGAACACAATTAAATAGATAGATAGATAGATAGATAGATGAGGTATGTAAGGTGCGTAAATCATTAAGAAAGTAACATTCAAAAACAAAAGAAAAATAATCGGTTTAAAAATGTATTGAAATAAACAAATTCTTCAAAACAGCAGACAAAAAAAATCAACAAACTTAAATAAAGTTAAAATAAGAAGATGCTTCTTACCTCCTCAGATTCTTGTCCCTGCAAGAACGTCACAATTCCAGCCCGAACACGATTTTTATATCCACGAACAGTTCCTTTTTCACTGATAATTCGTGTTTCTCGCAAAGTTTGAGGGTCGGTAACGTCTCGACGTCCAGCAAAGGTTGATTCTTCAGAATTCAGCGTCTGAGCGGCGTTGATGTAAAATTTTGGTGCTGGTATTAGACGAACGGATGAGCGCTTTTGTTTATACTTTTGGTTTCTATTGAGCTTCGAATAATTCTTCTCCAGAAAAGATATGGAACCGTTAACTTCCATATTTTCATCCTCTAATTCTTCAGGGGTTACCGGGACGGGCACCTCTGACGACGATGAATCAACTCTGCTGATATTATCATCCATGTCCATTAAAAAAAAAAGTTAGAAACAAGTTGTCAAGAATTGTCCACCAGAAAAATGTGTTTTTTACGACCACTGCACGCTGTTGTGCTCGCCACACAATCGAGCATAATATGAAAAAACGGCGGCTGTGTGTAAATTACGCTAAAAAAAAACCGATGACGATGTTAGGTTACGTCTCTTCCTTCTCCTCTTCTCAGTAGCTATTAAAAATAAATATAACAAGTGAATTCTTAACATAAAAGAAATAAATAGAGAATAAAAAGAATGATAGGAATAGACAAGAAGGAAGACAAAACGTGCGAGTCGGAAAGAAGCAAAGTTACATGAAGATTACTTTTTTTTACCTTTGAAGTTTAAGTTAATCAAAATTCGTTCATTATTATTATTATTATTTTTATTATTGTTGTTGTTGTTGTTGTCTCTTCCCAACCCAGTAATTTTTGTCTTGTCTTAGGTATTGTTCACAAAGGTGAGTAAAATTCAAACTAACACGTATAACTGTACATGGAAATGTGAATAGATTGGCTAGTGGTAGATTTTTGTGTAGTGCACATGTGCGTTCATACACTCTTTATGTGTGTGTGTGTGTGTGTGTGTGTGTGTGTGTGTGTGTGTGTGAGAGAGAGAGAGAGACACACACACACAGAGAAAAAGAAATAGAGAGAGCTAGAGAGATTTCGTGGAAGAGTTTCTGTCAGGAACAATGCTGGGATGTTTTGCAACATGCACCAGTGCTCATGTAGGTGGCATCTTTCTTTTATGCAAAAACACGATTGACAACTTGTAGAATAGAGTTCTCTTATGTATGTAAAACAAAACACAGTGCGCAATTCTGTGAGTTTTACGATTACTCGTTAGTGCATGCTTAGCTTACTTGTCATTGATTTATTTGTTGACTTACACATTTATTGTGTATACACTCTTTTTATAACTACATTTGTAATCACTTATGAAATGTAAGCGTTAAAAATTAATTGTGAAAGTTTGGAACTTTTCTGGTAATTCACCCCAAACAGAAAAAAATTATTACTAAAAATCACACAAAAATTCAGAAACCTCCTTCATAATTTGTTAAATAAATGCATTCATTGTTATATTTTGTCTTACGTCTCCAAAGGAACTCACATAAAAGGAGTCTATCATGCTGCGATGAGTTCTGACATATTCTTCATTTTGGCTTTCCGCCAGGTACTTTCGATTGTTTGCATATGAGCTTATGTTTCTGGGTTAACGAAATTCATACTGTGATTTACAGTCAGATGAATATAATTGGGATCATCCTTTAAAGATGTTTATCCTTTGCAACAATCCGACATAATTAGTCCCAGGTAAAATACAGCTTCAGATTGTGTCCAATAATGTGGAGGCTGTTCTCTCTGGCAACATCATGGCAAGCTAAACAAATTTTGATTTAAAACTTATAATCTCAAAAAGTGTGCCAAAAATTTAATTAAAAAACGAACAAATTTTGATTTATAATTTCAAAAGATAGCGCCAAAAATTTAATAACAAAAAAAAAAAAAAAACCCAAAAAAAACTTTGATTTATAATTTCTTTGGGTGAATTAATATTTATAAGTCAGTTATGTGCTTAGAGGTGTATCACGTATGGACGTCGCAGTTTTTTTCCCATTTCTTTCTGAGGTAGAACAGTTGCCATCCAACTGTCCTGCTATTTACCCATAGTTGGTTGGGATGGAGAAGAAGAGGATTCATACCTTTTCCAAGAGTATTAGCACAAGTGAATATATTGGATTGGACTGGAATTCAAATTCCTTAATCCGAGCCACTATCCATTACTCCACTTTGCCTCCCCATGATTTGGGGTGAATTAACAACAACAAAAATCCCCTATCTTATACGTAATCAGAATGAATATGTAGTTTTGTGTATTCATTATAATATAAAAGCAATTGGGTCGTACATGATTTTACATCTTATGATTTCAACGGTTAATTTTTTTTTTCCTGTGGAAGCAATTTTTATCCATTATCTTTGCACAGGTGTGCATTTTAGAAATGAATGAAAAAAGTGTCATTTAACTACTACGGCCATCAGCTTACACCATAAAATAAAATAAAGTCGTCGAAGAAACTTATTTTATAGAACAATGATTTTCT